GAAGTTGCTAGGACCTCTGTCTGTTAGCTCTAATTGGGAACAGTTTATTCAATTTCTAGGACAAAAAACACCATTGAATAAAGTCATGCCTAGATCAAATGTTGGGCTCTACTATTTGAATAACCATAGGGCAATGAACAAGGTAATCTTTCTGAAGCTCCTTGAAACACAGAAATTACTTCCATATGTACGTAATAGAACTGTTGAGTCTGTCAATTAAATGCTTGCCTAGCAGGCTGCATACATACAAAGCCTGTAAAACACTATTCCCTGAGCATGAAGCAACTGACAATATGGGTTCCCATTTAACAATATAGTTTATCCTGTAAGAGGCACTGCTATATGAAGGTGTGAGCAACATGGATTAAGCCTGCAAAATCTTGCCATTATAGATGCCCTCACTAAGGATATCTTCAATATTAAAGCCTTGGGCCTAGAGTCTAGGAAAGAAAACATCAACTCGACACACAAAATCTTGGAGTCATATTTGTTCATGTACATTTGAGTTAGTAACCACTAGCAGTATTTGTCTGGAAACTTCTCAATATTCTATAGCACTGAACTATCCAATACAGTAGTCTCATGTCATGTCTGTAAGTAAAAATTTAAGTCCAACTCTTCAGTCACACTAGCCACATCTCAAGGCTCAGTAACATGTCACTAGTCGCTATTATATATTGCTCAATACATCATAAAACGTTTCCATCATCATGACATTTTACTGACAGTACTATGGCTTTAACAGCTTACTTTAACAGCCTTTGTTAAAGAACAAGGGAATTTTTTCCCCTTCCTCTGTACCCACCAGATGACTCCCTTGGTGTCTTCTTTACTCTGGGGCCTAGACTTTAAAGGTATACCTTGACCCTTTCAGCTGCCTTCAGTTCTTTGATGAAAACATACCAGTCACACTTTCTCTTACTGCCCTTAATTCTCACATATACATGGTCAACTTTTTACTAAATTTATTAGCCAGCCACCCTTTCTTGAAAGCCCTATGTCCTTTCCTAATCCTCACCCTTCTTTATCAAACAGGGTTGCTTCTCCCTCTTTGGTGCACTGGTTCACAGTTTGGGCCAAAAATTGGAATTGTGGCAACTTGAAAAATGTATCAATGTCTGTAGTATCTTTCCAATCTGGCTGTGTGAAAAAAAGTTAAAAATTAAAGTATCAATGAGTCCCAATCCTAGAGATTTAATAGGTCTGGACTGCACCACCTTGAAATCCAGATTTAAAAGTCCATCCCCCACTCACAGGAAACTTTCACACACCAAGTTGAAACTTTCTAAATCCAAAAATTTGGTAATAAACTATAATAATCCATAAGCCCCAATTTTTCTAGATTTGTTAAAGGACTGTATGAGTTATTTTTCCAAATACAAATTTGTCGGCACTTCAGGGACACGTTTCTCAAAGCTTTTGTGTGCCACTTGAAAAAAACAATCCAACATGCTTTCCTCTTCCAACTCCTTACTAGTCCCTTTGTCAATTGGATTCATCCCATTACACTATTCTCGCCTTCGTCTGTTTTGTAGTTCTAGTTCACAAAAGGCATTAGCTCCAATACTCTTAAAAATCCATGCTTTCCAAAATTGAGATTTCTTTTAACTTGAAAGTTACTAATGCAAACACAAATTCTGCAGTTTTCTACTTTAACTGTGTCTAACAAACATTTGGAAAGCTTTTGTCTGGTCGGGTATGTCTATGCTCACCTTTTACTCTGCAGTTTACATTTTTACTTTATACCAAGTTCCCTCCAAACACTAAAATTCTCCAAGAGTGCTCCTTATTAGTGTGAAAGGTTCCTAAAAGATACTCAGACCATAGTACAGCCATTATATGTAACTCATTTACCAGTCATTTCTATGTCATGTTTACTACTGTCTACTGGTTTTCTGGTCAAGTTACTTTTTCTTGGATGCTTCTGAATTCCAATGAAATGCATTTTCTTGGTCAATGTGATCTGAACAAGGGTTCAGAAACGAAAACTCCATTTGACATCAGTGTAGCTGAATTCTCATAATAAATAAAAAGGTCAACTGTCAGTAGGAATGAATGTTTTCTGGTTCTCCCCAGTCAACACTTTGTCAGGCCAGGCATATGTTCCTGAACTTTCAACTGATCTTATTAAACATACACAATTTCTTTCTTCTGCTACCACTTCCACAAAGCTCTTGTTTTACCAAGGTTACCTCAAAACGCTAGGACTTGTATATAGTTTATCAACTGTTCTACTTCTGTACTTTATTATACACCGGGCTTTGCTCCCCCTAACTCACCCTGAATAAAACATACTGCCAAGTTCTAGTAGATTCATGTGTTGACACTTCACGGTTTTCTTAGGGCTTAGGTTGCGTCAATTGTACTATTACATTCTTCCCAATCCTACTTTGACACCAGTTCATTTTCTTCCAATTTACGACCTTTTTATCCAATTTATTTTCCATTACATCTAGTTCCCTCTGAAAAAGAGGCTTTAAGCCACACAACTAAGTAGTAATAACATCTGAAGTGAAATTTAAGAGGAGCCCTCTTTTCGAGAATCCCAAATTTAGCCTCCATTCCCACCTTACAGCTTTCCATTAGCTCATCCCACTGAGCAGCAAATTAGTAACTACCCAATGCAGAATGCTCCAAACTTTCCCAATCATACATTATGCAGCATCAGAAGGAAATGTTACTAAGTATTTTTTGTTCATCCACTTCCTCGCCTGCTTTTCTAACCCTGAATGAAAATTGCATTCCTATATGATGACAGGACAGTTTAGATTTTGATGACAGGACAGTTTAGATTTCATAGCATGAGAAACGTGTTCTCAATTTTACTTCCACTAAATCGTGTAGGGCCCTTTAATCAGACTGTCAATCTGAAACCCCTCAATTATTAAATCAGAGCTCCCTCAATTACTACCTGACTCTAAAATCATTACCTATCCCCTTTACCTACACTGTCATACCTACTATTCTGACTCTCTATAATTTCTACTGAGCCAACTCCTTTTCTTACTTTGCAGGGCCCAGGGTTAAGTAATGTCAGTGACTATAAGCATATCATCTGATAAACAGCCTTTAAAAACACTAGCCCCTTTCCCAAAAAGCCTGTACTCCTCTGCATTGGATCAGATTCTAAAAAGTATCTTACCAGATGGTTTATCGAACCTGGTCTCTATTTTGCTACGGTTTTGTCTAGGGACCTAAATGTCAAATTGTTAAATGAGGATACATGGGATTATAGAAAACCTAGAGTACTGTTGTCTTAAACACACAGTAGCCTTAAAACAAGACTGTGAAATGACTTTCCTATCAAGACAAACTAGAAATGCTGGTATTCCAACAATAACCCTACCATATGTGTGTGTAGATGTGTGGTCGTGCTCTCCAGCTATTTGCAAAACTAATTGCGGCTAATTAAAAGTAATGGCAAAAGCTACAATTACCTTTGTTTGTGTCAACCTAATATTTAAAACTGCTTTCCACAGCTTCTTTCAATACCTGCTTTACTACAAAATTAAATGTACAATTGGCCCTCCATGTTCATAGGTTCTGCATATGCAGATTCAACCAACTATAGATCGAAAATGCTAAGAAAAACTAAAAGTTAATAAAAAATACAAATAAAAAAATACAGCTGCAACTATTTACATAGCAATTACATTTTATCAGCTATATCATGTAGAGATCATTTAATACAGGAGAATATGTGTAGGTTACATATAAATATTATGCCATTATGCCATTTTATGTAACGGACTAGAGCATCTGCAGACTGTGGTATTCACAGCTAACAGGCTGTTGTGTGTGGGTCCTACAGTGAAGAGAAAAGCAAACACTTGATTCTGGACTAATTTGTCTAGTATTTTCCAAAAACTTGCAGCTAACAACATAATATTAAACAGGTTTTATTAGCATCTTACACTCTCCTAAGAATCCAGTTTATTTTCTAGTCATGGGTTACTTACTAAAAGTTTGCATAACATGAGCTGACATCAGATCAGAAAACATCAAATGGGTAGTATTTCTAACCAAATTAACATACAAAAGGAAGTGCCTTTATATCATGTATCTGGGCTCCAAGGGTAGTCCAGCCTCTTCCTTATATTCTGCTTTGTCACCTGTTATATAAAATAATCTATAAAATCCTTACAAATAAGACGTAAGTTTTGCCTATAATGCATAGGATGAAAAAAAAAGGCTAGTGCTGCATGCTATGAAACAATACCAACTTTATAGGGGAATCCAAGGTTTGTGTGCACAAAAATTGTAAATGCCATTTTCTGCTGTGCTGGAAAAGCTGAAAAAGAAAAATGAACTAGGCCTTTGAAGGATGAGATAACAATGGTAGCTGTTTAATATATTTGTCTTAAGACTGGATGCTAAAAATGCAATCACTGCAATTAAAGTTGAAGGAAAACAAAAAGATGAGCTAATATGGGTAAAAGATCATTTAGCATAAAATAGATGTGTAACATTCTCTATGTTCTCAGTCACTTGGGAAGGCAGACTATGGAATATCAGGAAATTGTTTTTGTTGTTGTTTTTTTGCTTTTTTTTTCAGTAGCATGGAGGTTTCAGAATTCAGAAGGTAGCTGGAGCTATAAATAATTAAAAGGACAAAGTAGAAGAAAGCAGGGGTTCCATTGTCCAGCTGTTGGAATTTTCCTGAAATCTTAATGTTTTTGAGTCTCTCCTATTTAAGGACAAAACAATTTAGCACACAACAAAAACCTCAAAAAGGGTACCAGCTGGACTAGAAAGCACTAATGAAAAACCAGAGAGCATATACTTCCCAAACTTTCATTAGGATGTAAAAGCCATTCTGAAAACAATCTCCACTCGATGTCAAGCTGACTGCTCAATGCAACATGCATCTCAATGAAATATAATTTGAGTAGTGTTATGTTGGTATGCATAATGATTATGACTCCAAGAAAAATACAGTGCATTCTAGGGGTTTTGTGGAGGACGCTGTAAAACAAAGAGTTTAAAGTAAACAATAATAAAATACAAAAATAAAAACCAGGGTGATTTTTCTCCAAATTCCTGGTTTAATAAGGACTTGTTTATTTTGAAGAAAAAGGGTCCCAAACATCAGGCTGTTCACAAAAATAACCCACAGTATCAACTTTCGAAAACAAATCTTAAGACTATAACACTATTTTTCTAGAGGATGCATTTGACATGCCAACTCTCATTCACAAAAATACATCGTCACATTTGTGTTGAACTGCCCCACACAGCACACTAATGTTGGGGTGTAACACACATACTTCTAACTCAAAGCTGCTTTCAGAAGCTACTCAACTAAATGAGATTGCCTTTGCAGTTAGGGAAGCAACTACTGAACATATGTATGAATGAAAAGAACTGTACTCCCTTCATAACGAGAGATTATTTTGGAGACAGTTGATAAAAACCATACATCCTTTTTATTGTTAAGTCATAAAGAGGTATCAAAATTAAAAGCAAAAATTACAGGGTAAGACTTAACAAAAACTACTAGGAGCGTCAAAGGAAGTGAAAATGGGACTAGGCGCAGGGAAATATGAATTAATGAACATGGGAAGGACAAGGATGGGGAGAACAGTGAGCATGTGCTGAAGATACTAGGGGAGAGGATCTGGTGAAAAATTTGATCTTAGACAAGCGCCTAGGTAAAGAAATAATGGGATAAGATTTCTAAACCCCACTATGTGCTTAAGAGTCATCCTCGCCATTGGCGCTGTCTCTGTCATCCTCTCCTTCCTCAGCCTCTTTTTCATCATCCTTGATCAACTCCAGCTGTGAGAAACAGACACAAATAGGATGGAGTTAGAGGCACTCCATGTGTCCCTGAGCCCCCCTCCACCACCTTTTTCTTTCCTTTCCCGTGGTTTTCACCTGGTCATCCCCCCGATCTTCATTATCATCATCATCCAGTAGGTCCCCCTCCTCAGCAGAGTCATCTGCACCCCCCTCAGACTCCATCTTCACATTAGTCTCATCTTTCTTCACGGAGCTGCTGCTCTGCTCCTCTTCTGACTTATCATTCTTCATCTCTACTGGGGATGAGAAGGACAAGTCTGTCTAGGGGCAGTTATGTCCACAGGATGTAGACAATCCCCACTAAGGATCACAGAACTGCAGCACAAATCTAAATCCTCCCACACAAATGCCTTTCCCAATTCACACTTCCCAAGTTTTATATTAAATTAGTTTACATTCCACTATTCAAACACATACTTTCAACTGCCTTATGTAACTAGTCCAACTGTATATCCAACAAGCAGAAAACCCATTTACCTGCTTGTTTGCTCTGTTCCTTTTCAATTTTTTCCAGGTTTTCCAGGAGAGAATCCACTTTTTGTTTTATCTGGGTCAGTTCCTTCTTAATGGCCTGAAGGTCATCTCCTTTCACTTTAATATAAACAAAATCCTGGATTAAAATCAAATGTACTAGAAGATATGAGTTAGCAAATACATTCACACTAGACTATACCAGGGGCTCACAGAAGTTCCCCAGGGAGAAACAGAGCCACTAAAGATTTCCCAGCAATGAAGGGCCTTGATTTTAAGTTTGCCAGAAACCTTGACTCTATTATAAAGTACTTTCTCTAATGGTTGTTTTGTTCTTAATGACTTTTAGATCTGGGCTCTCCTTATGTTGCCCAGGTCTGAGTGCAGTGACCATGCACAGATAATGATCACAGTGCACTACAGTCTCAAACATTAGGCCTCATGCAATCCTCCCACCCACCACAGCCTAGATCCCGGCGGTCTTAGCCTCCTCTGAAGCATCTGATACAGACATGCGCCACTGCATCAGACCTTCTGTAATGTTTTATTGCCTTCTGTATTTCCAGTTACAGGAGGAGTTTGGCCACTGAATCACAATCCTGTCTCTTCCATCACTTTGGATTAATTTTTTCTGAGATGGAGTTTGGCTCTTGTCACCTGGGCTGGAGTGCAATGCCATGATCTTGGCTCACTTCAACCTCTGCCTCACTGGTTCAAGCGATCCTCCTGCCTCAGTCTCCCAAGTAGCTGGGATTATACGCATGCACCACCACACCCAGCTAATTTTTTTTGGATTTTCAGTAGAGACAGGGTTTCACCACATTGGGCCAGGCTGGTCTCAAACTCCTGACCTCAAGTGATCTGCCCTATTTGGCCTCCCAAAGTACTGGTATTACAAGCGTTGAGCCACCATACCCAACGTCTTCCATGATTTTGAATACATAAAGCCATGTAGCACAAAAATACTAGAACTGCATTGGCTTCCCTATTTCAAAACACATGAGATATCAAAATCACAAAACTGAAATAATACATACACTTTCCAGACTTGGAAGATCCCCGCTGTCCACTCTTAGAATTGAAGCCACTTTTGCCCCTTCGTGAGGTGTTTCCTGATACACGCTGACGTTTCGAGGGCACTACAGCCCGCGCAATAGGAGGAGGAGGAGGTACACGTGCTGGATAACTGTACATCCTATTGGACAAAAGGAAAATAAAGTTCATTCAAACTTAACATTAACTCAGTACAATTCAACACACCTTATGATACATAATATCCATTGTCTCTCAGTTGTTTCATTTTACTAAATTTCATTGAGAAGGCCAGCAAAAAACTCCATGACTTGATAAAATAGTTAATACTGCAGCAATGTTTCCTTAAGAAACAATACATATATCAAATTATATGGTTGGCTGGCCTTTAGCACTGGATATAAATAGTTCCTCTGTACTAGTGGCAGTATTAACAGGGCATTTTTAAAATAATGACCAGCCTTTGTTTTATGTTATTCTTTTCCTACATACAAGACAATAAATAATTCACATAAGGTCAAATACTCTTAAAAAGATTCCAATTAACTGGTTATATAAACAGAGGTATTTAGCATTAACCAAATCCCTCATCTTTTCACCCACAGAAGCACACAAATTATTAAACCTAGTGATACAAAATTAAACCATGTAAAAAATGCGAGTATGGATCACTTCTGACCTATAAAAATAGGGCAATTTAATGAAACTGAGCAAATCATAGCAAAATGTGTTGGCCAGGTATAAATACCACTGATATAAAATATCTCATGTAAAAAACAGTATCATTTCTAACTAAATTTATGCTTAATTACAACAGGACAGAGACCACTGCCTATCTTGTTCACTATTCACCAGTATCTAAAATTCATCAGCCAGTACACACTACACACTTAGCACTCAAACACTGGTTGCTCAACTAAATGTTTGTTTCTGTTATAATTCTTAATTTCAAATATTTTATACTAATAAACTTACTGCCCCAGTGATTGATAAAGATACACCGAAGTGGTGGCTCGCAGACTATTACATTTGTAAAGAGAAAATTCAAAACCGAACAAAACAGTTCTTACATGGACATCAGTTCTAGACTTTCTACATTCCACATTGTCATTTCTATATAAGAGCCTACGGCAACATAAAAAAAGGTTTTTTAATTCTAGCCATACAAGAAATGCAACCAACTTAACACATAGGCCAAGGTACTCTATAAAAATAAACCTACCAACTGCTCTAACTCCAAAGATTTCTTAAAAAACAAATGTGATATAGTCAAGAACGTAAAATTTTATGATTCGGCCAGGCGTGGTGGCTCATGCCTGTAATCCCAGCACTTTGGGAGGCCGAGGCGGGTGGATCACGAGGTCAAGAGATCGAGACCATCCTGGTCAACATGGTGAAACCCCGTCTCTACTAAAAATA